ACCTTAGCTTGACATACATGATCCCATTTTACCCAAGAAATTTTCTTATTTAATTCTGCCCCGCCCCATAAGAAACACCTTTGGATTCTAGTCAACTCCGCAAGCACAGATTTAGGTAATGAAAATAAAGACATATAAAAAATAGGAAGTGCAGAGAGTACCGAGCTTAGCAAGACGAGGCGGCCTCCAAAAGAAAGAGTAGCGGCCTTCCAGACAGCGAGTTTGGACCGGAATTTATTTACAACCAGCTCCCAAAATTTCTTGTTTCCAGATTTTCCGTCTACGGGCAACCCCAGATAAAGAAAGGGTGGTCGGCCAACCCTACAGTGTAACATACCCGCTGATCCTTTTAGCCATTTCTCCGACACATTATACCCAAAAATACTGCTCTTGCTGAAATTAATTCTCAATCCCGACATAAGCTCGAACCATTTTAGGATGTCCTTCACCGTACGTATATTCTTCGCATCCGCTTTACCCATAATAACTGTATCATCAGCAAACTGAAGCAACGATACGGACAGACCTCTACTTCCAATCTCAATCCCATGCATCATATCCTCCTTTATAGCTCTCTGTACCAGATACTGTAACCCCTCCGCAACCATCAGAAAGAGAAAAGGAGATAGAGGATCACCTTGTCTCAAGCCTTTTCCCACCTCAAATTCCTTTGTCGGGCTACCGTTTACCAGAACCGAGACTCTGGCCGTTGAAAGGCATTCCATGATCCATCCTCTCCACTTCATTCCAAATCCAAAATTTTCCATCATCCAATCCAAGAAAGACCAATCTACCGAGTCATATGCCTTTTCGAAATCTGCTTTAAAAACAAAAGCTGGCTGTTTCTTTTTCTTAATCTCATCCACAACTTCATTCAGCACCAGGACACTATCTACCAACTGCCGTCCCCCCACAAAGGCAGATTGCATTTCACTTACAATTTCTGATATCACGGACTTCAATCTATTAGCCAGCACCTTCGCTAATAATTTATAGACACATCCTAACAAGCTAATGGGTCTATAATCCTTTAGTTCTATGGCATTCAACTTTTTAGGAATCATAGCAATAAAAGAAGAATTAAGACCCCTCACCAGTTTGCCATTACGATGGAATTCAGAAAAAAAGTTGATGAAGTCCTCCTTTATACTTTGCCACGCATATTTAAGGAAATTGAAGTTGTAACCATCAGGTCCTGGTGCCTTTGAACCTTCACAGCTCCTTAAACCTTCCTCAATTTCTTCAACTGAAAATGGCCTTTCCAGCCAATCTTTTTTCTCCTCGGATAGCTGCTGAAAATTAATATTCCCAAGCTTGGGTCTATTCCATTGCTCTCCTTGAAACAAGCTTGTAAAATATCTGACTATCTCATTTTTTACTAAATCTGGCTCATCAATCCATACTCCATCACACATTAAGCCCGCAATGTTGTTTTGTGCTCTTCTACCTTTTGCAACTCTATGAAAGAAACGAGTATTTGCATCTCCCTCATGTACCCATTTACTCCTTGATTTCTGCTTCCATATCAATTCTTTTTTCCTCAAAACATCCCACATCTCAGAAAAACCTTCCTGCCTTTTCACTATCTCAGCCTCTTCCAGGTCAGCTATCTCGTTCTGCCTATCAACTTGCTCAATTTTTTTAACAGCTTGCTCATATTGAGTTTCCATATTCCCAAAGACTTCCTTATTCCAGCCCTTTAAAGAACCTTTTAGCAATTTCAACTTTTGCTGGCACTTATACCCAGCAAAACCCTCCACCGCCAACTCACTCCATTTATCCTCTACAAACTTCTTAAAATCGGGGTGTTGTTGCCATGCATCCCAAACCCGAAAGGGTTTTGGTCCCCAATCTGATGTTCTGGACTTCAACACAATAGCACAGTGGTCAGATATATTCCTTGGCAATCCTTGTTGTATCCACTCTCCCTCCGTATTACTCATCTCCGTACTCAAAAGGAATCTGTCCAATCTACTCATTGCTGTACCATCTGGCTTGTACCATGTATACTTTCTGTTCGACAATTTAACATCCACCAAATCAGATGTCACAATAAACTCATCGAAATCCTTCATGTCTAGGCTTTCTCCTGATCTACCTCGTCTCTCCTCAGGTTCTCTGACAGCATTAAAATCCCCTGCTATCAACCAACATCCTTCCTTTTCTGTCACCAATTTCCTCAATTCCTCCCATAAACTAGCCTTCCTCTGTCTATCATTTGAACCATAGACATTAATTAAAAAATATTGCTTTTTATTTGCTCCCCATTCCCCTGCCAATCCCACGAAACCATCACCAGAAAACTCTTCCGTCTTAACAAATTGTCGTCTATCCCACAAACAAAGTAACCCACCTGACGCTCCAGAAGATCCCTTTGCAACCCAATCAACCTCATCCGAATACCACAGTTGTCTACAGATACCCACATCCACTTTTTCTAACTTTGTTTCCTGCAGGAAAAGAAAATCTGGCTTCTCTTCTTGAACCAACCTTCTCACTTCCTTCTTTTTCAACATCCCACCCAAGCCCCTTACATTAAATGACACAAATTTCATTGATCAATTCTAAACACACAAACCTCCATTCATCACTAACGGCTCTACCTTCCAATCGCGACCCCCCTCTCCACCCCTTCTTGATCTACTGCCTCTAGCAATTTTGATTGAATCTCCTCCTCATTATTCTCGAAAATAAGACCCAATCTCTTCCCCACCCCCATCAACCGACGCACCTCATGCATATCCATCTCCCTCTTCAACACCCTATTTCTATTTTCAATACAGCCATTTGAAATAGAAACAGCCATAGCATCATGTACCTTGTCATCCTCAGCTTGGCGGGTTCCCTCTCTCCGCGCCAAACGCTGCTTTGTTCTGGGTGTTACCCACGGAGCTCCTTTTACCCAGATCTGCTCCATGCTCTCCGGGTAGCATTCTTGCAGCCGCCTCTGTTTTTTGCTCCACTTTGTTGTGTTTTCCATTTTCTGCGTTGTCGTTGGGTCCTCCACTATTTGTGCCTCTAAACATGGTTCTTCCAAATTCATTTCCTTTGTTTTACCCCATTCCATCCTGATGATCGGCCCACTGTCTTCTATAAGCCCATCCGAACTCACTCTTTGTGGCCCATTCTCCTTGGGCCGTCCCAAGTTTACATCTCCTTCTAAATCCGTCTCTTGCACCATTTGAAAACAGCTCTCTGTTTCCGTTACTATCTTCAAATTTGAATTAGACACCAAATCCTTCATTAAATGCTCAGAATCATTTCTTACATCCTCACCTTCGCCAATCACATCCAAATCCATTTCCGGATCCTCGTTCTGACACCACGAGTTTGAGGAATTAGACTCTGTTTCCAGGTCGCTTCTCCGGCCATTCTCCGACAACCACCAGTCCGGATCATTGCGCCACTCCTCTTCAACTATTTCTATTACATACACCTGCTCACCCACCTTCAACTTCACTTGCTTGCATATTTTACTCGCCTCCGAACACAGGATCAGGACTCTTCCATCCCATAGAATTGTTTTCTTCTTTGTGTCCTCGTGCACCAACACAACTTCTCCGATTGTCTCACCGATCATCTGAAAACACCTCTCTTCCCATGCTCTTAATGGCACACCCGATATGCGCACCCACTTCAATCTGCTTTTCTCCTCTGGAGCCTTCTCCCATGGTGTTATCGACTCAAACCACATGCCAAACAACTCCTCATTCTGCTTCATATAATCAGCTATGAACCCTGAAACTTTCTCAGTTAATAGTACCCGCGTTCCCCCCATTG